GTCCTCAGTGGAAAGGAGGAGGCTGAAAAATTATTTATATTCCCTACATTTCTAAGGCAATTTTAATTACATTAAGGATGCTCCAGATTAAAAGGCCACGAGTGCCGTATAAATGTGCAGCTGGCATATTTTCATTTCGTCTATTGTAATCCCTTCAGCTGAAATGTATGTCTGCAGGGAGAGAAAGCCACTTACTACACATAAAAGAGGATAATATTTGTTTGGAGCACCTTGGCCTGAATGTCGCCGAGATTGTGAAAAATCCCCTATAGAACAAAGCACTTATGTGTAGCTACAAACCCACCATGTTATCATTATACACAACGACCTACATCATTAAATACCCACGGGGAGTGGGAGTCTCTTAACATTTTTTTCTGTTGTAACTGGCTGGCAACCAGTTATGATAAATTTATGGTGCTGGTTGGCAATTTTGATGATGATTTGTCAAAATTATTCAGAAGTATGCAACCTCGAGTTACTGATCTGTAACTGTTCCATATTCATCTATATTTCACATTCACTATCATGGAACTATAGCTATGATTATAGATGTCAAGAGAAATCCACAGCATCAAGGAGCCACTCCAAGTGTTGGAGGTTGTTGCACTCTAGCACTGAAACTCCTTTTCGCCTAGCAACACACACAAGTCCAATAGTTCTATCTAAGGATGTTTATTGAAAAAAAAACAAGTAAAAAGGGGGAAAAGGGCAATTTCAGGGTCAGAGGCATAACAAGTATAAAATAGCAATAATTCAAAAAGGACCAAGTATATAAAGTCAAAAGTGCCAAAATCCACAGCAATACTTCAAACATAAATCCATGAACAAGACAACAGGAACTTTTCCAAGGTAAATTCCCAAGTTCGCAAGAACAGGGAACTTGAGGATACTTGAAACATGAACTTGAGAGCAGAGACAGACAGGAGAGCCATCCCTTAGCAATGTTATCTCCTCTGAGAAGCGTAAAGCCAACACCACTTAATTTAAGCCCAACCAAATAGCCATGAGATCATGCCAAATGCACCTGGGCTTCAAAGTCTTCTCACAGATTCTCTCAGAATGTCTAAATAGTCATTCTTCACTCCCTCCATTCTCAAACCTAATCTGGCTTCTTGAGAAAACTCCCCATTGGCCAAAGACTATTACCCAAGAGAACTGGTTTCACTTTCCCTGGTTGCCTGGGAATAATCACAGAAATGCAAAACATTGGCCTCAACCTCCTGCAATTCTCTCCTAGCACTGACAGACTCACCACTTTGAAACCTATCAAACCCCTCATCCTCTGACATGTCAGAAAAATCCCCTGCTGCTTGCTGAGCTACAACAGAGGTCTCCAGGATGATGCTTGAATCAACCTCAGAGATACATTGAGTCCCCTTTGGGGGAGATAAAGCAGGGTATAAATAAATATAATAATAATTGACCTCCATCTTATGAAATGACTCCTTGGAATTTAAAGTGAGTCCTGAGCATGGATCCATTGTTGGCTATGATGTGATGGAGGATCTTAGCTGCACTAATCATAATAGTTTTATGTTAATATTAGGTGTGACTCTGAATAACAATTCCCAAGAATCATAGTGGGATGATACAGTTTCTTCACTCATACCCTTCTTCTGGGCTTTTAGTAGCAGTAGCCATTTGACTTTAGTACAAGTTGAGCATCCCTTATCTGAAGTGCTTGGGACCAGAAGTATTTGAATACAGGATTTTTTTCCCTTCAAATTTGGAATTCCTATATTTGCATATACATTCATAATGAGATCTCTTGGAGATGGAACCAAAATTTCAATTTGAAATTCATTTGTGTTTCATATACAACTTATACTCATAGCCTAAAGATAATTTTATATATAGAACATTTTTAATAATTTTGTGCATGAAACAAAGTTTGTGGACATTGAACCATCAGAAAACAAAAGAGTCACCATCTCAGCCACTTATGTGAACAATGTAGGATTTTGCAGTATTTTGGATTTCAGGATTCTGGCTTAGGAATGCTCAATTTGTAATAGAAAAGTGGAACAGATACATTTTAGTCCTATTCTGCCCTATCACTCCTACCTGAATATCCAAATTGGGGCAATGTTCTCATACAACCCTGCCCAAGTCAGGGATTAATAAATCTTAAACTGCAACTGCCATAATCTCTCAAGAATTTGGGAGATACATAAAAATTAGGTGGTTGGGAATTTGGAACATAACTCCTGTTTATACCATGTTATTTTGATTTATAATATACTGAGTCTCCATGTTGTGATTCTACACACTGAGTAGTATTACACCAATATAAAAAATCCAGTAACACCTTTGACACTGAGAAAAAGGCTTTCTAACTTTTCCAGACTACAATCCACTTCATCAGCTGCTATTTCCAATGAAGTGGAATGTAGCCTATAGAAATCTATGCTGGAAATTTCCTTTCATGCTAAAACAGACTTATGCAACTATCTCTTTGAATACCGTTATACAAGTAGTTAATCTAGAGTCTCTTCTTCAAAGTTGGGCTGCTAGGTTTTTAACAAGTGCACAGGAGAAGGCATTTCAGCAGACGTGGCTTGACATCTATAGGACTGAGGAATTGAGACAACCCCCCGTCCTATATAACAACTATAATTACCTTCTACACCAGTGGTTCCCAACTTTTGGTCCTCCAGATACTTGGGATTTCAGCTCCCACAATTCCTAACAGTTGGTAAACTCACTGGGATTTCTGGGACCTGAAGTCCAAAACACCCGGAGAACCGAGGATTGGCAACCATGGTTCTATACAGTCATCGTGTCCCAAAGGAGTCCCTTGTGGTGCAATGGGTTGAATCCTTGTGCCAGCAGTACTGCTGATCGAAAGGTTGGCAGTTTGAGTCTGGGGAGTGGGGTGTGCTTCCGTCTGTCAGCTCCAGCTTTTCATATGGGGACATGAGAGAAGCCTCCCACAGGATAATAAAACATCCGGGTGTCCCATGGGCAATGTCCTTGCAGACGGTCAATTCTCTCTCACCAGAAGCAATTTGTAATTTCTCAAGTTGCTTGTGACATGGAAAAAAAAACTTGTCTCAAGTTGAAAGAGTGATCCCAAGACATTTTGCTGCCTCATACAAAATTTAAGATTAGTGTCCTACCATTTCCCCAATTTCTGTATATAGATGATATTAAGTGACTGGACAATAGATTAGCTCCAGTGGCACAAAGCAGCCTGTGTGCCACACATTGCTTTGCGTTCCAGCATCATGCCACAATTTGATTTCTTTCTTCACAGCATCAGTTGCCTTGGCTGGTGGCTTCATTCTGCCTAATGGTAAAGCTGGGCATATAGGCTCTCTCGCCTTGCAGCTGGGGAGAAGAAGCTTATTCTGGAATGGAGTCCCCTTGCAAACCAAGTTTGTGGGATATTGATTGCCAAATAGGTCCTCTGACCTCAGCTACTACAATTTGCTTCCCTAAGTCACACCCACTGAAAAATGAGTTTAAAATCTTAAGTTCGGTTTCTAGTTTATATTTGTTGCAGGTTTATATTTGTTTTCACACACTTCCTAACTCTGGCTGCATGACTAGAGATTCATCTGGGAAGAGCTTCCCCCACTGTGTTATCTTCAAGCCAATGAAAGTTTCAATCTGCCGAATTTTTGACTTTTATACCATCCTTAAAAGCATTGGTGTTCCTTGAAGGGTGGAGAACTGCTGTGTGAAAGAAAGTCCCATTGTTTGAATTGGGCCTGGAGAATGATTTTGGTGGCACTATTGTATGAATTAGCTTTTATTTGTGTGTCAGGAGCAACTTGAGAAACTGCAAGTTGCTTCTGATGTGAGAGAATTGACTGTCTGCAAGGACACTACCCAGGGGATGCCTGGATGTTTTACCATCCTGTGGGAGGCTTCTCTCATGTCCCCACATGAGAAGCTAGAGCTGTTAGATGGGCGTTCACCCTGCTGCCCCGGATTCGAAGCGCCGACCTTTCAGTCAGCAATCCTGTCAGCACAAGGATTTAACCCATTGCACTATGGAGGCTCCATGAAAGAACTAAAAGATCTTTCTACAGAACTGTTGTTAAATTGTGTTTTTTAACAAATCAGTTTTCCCTGCCCAGCTCTAGGTGTAGAAGAGTGATCACCGAAGATATAATGGATGGGAATGTGCTCCTAGCATTTATTTTTTTATTACATTAGTGCTGGACAATATACTTGGGTCATAGTGGTTTGGTGTATCTATGAAACAGAACTTTGATTTGTGGTCGAGCTTTTTGTTTCACTTCATCAGCAAGGAAAGAATACGCAAATTAGTGAGCAATTAAAAAAGAACAATGGAACAATGGAAATACGTTTCAGTAAGTGTGTGAGTGAGAAAAACATATTCTTATCAGGAAATCAAGAAAAATGCTATTGGCATTTTAAAAAAATCATAATAATACATTTTGGAAAGCACAACTAAGTTGTCAACTAAATAGGGGATGGCGTTTTTCTCCACAAAGAGCTTCTCATGCTTAATCTATTTCCCTTTGAAAAACTATTGTTCTCCTGAACGGGTATTGATTTTTGTCTGACTTGTGCTCTCTGTGACAGACTGCTGCTAAGGTTAAGTATACAATCAGTCTCAGAAAGAACATGCACTCGAAAACAGTCTCTGTTTTGATCTAGTGGGCCATGACTGAATAGACCCGCATTTTTCTTTATATGACAAATAATTGCTTGGGATCCCATCTTCCATATCCTTAACATTACGTCCCGTCGCCTTAATTGTCATATGGGTGGTCCAGCACACTGGAATTAGGCACACTGGCTGCACATAGTTTCTCGCTCAGGAAATACTTCCCCCTGTTTGTGTATCTTAGCGTCTGTCTGTAGTTTCTCTGAGCGAAAATCAGGGATCACAACACAGCAAGTACAGCACAGTGAGCATGCCTCCGAATGCATCATTTGGAAGGCTTGTTCCTAACATGCCATTTTTGGGGGGGGGGGGGATCCCAGCCTTTCCTCAATAGCTATGTTTAGTGGGTACTCACATTTGGAAGAAATCACAGTGAAGACTTCTAGATTTTCATCACTGCAGCTGTAAATCTGGTGCATTTTTCACTTCTCTCTCCTGGCTGCCTTTCGGCTTCATGCAACTGCTCTGAACTTCTGGTAAATAGGTTTCGCTAATCCCATCTGGCTCTGTGATCATTGTCCAGGTCCACAAAGGACAGACTGATGCTGTGATCTCATCTCATTCCATATTCTTCGTGGCAACATTTTCTACCCCCGTCTGCCTTTGTATGAATTCTGCTCACGTTAGGGCTTGATTTTGCCCTTCCTTCAAACTACTGCCATGCCGGTAGCATTTTATTTGCATAGCAGCTCTTGTTACCATACGGGTTTGCAGACAACCTCTGGAATAATAAGGGGCAAACTGAAGGAATCTTGGTCTATAGCATATAGATGGGAAATTATGAAACAAGGGTTTGTTTGTTTGTTTTTTTAAAAAAACTGAACTGGGTATTGTTTTATAATGTCTATTCTTCACTTTCAGCACAGTTTTAATTTTAAACATCAAAGCATAAGTATTCCTTCTCTTAAAAGAAAACAGCAAAGAACACAGTGGGAGATTCATCCTCTAACAAAAGCATATTTTACTTTCAAATCTTTGTTCTTCCAGCCAGTGCAATAATACGTTCCAGTAATGCCCAGCCTTTTAGCACAGAGATCAACATTTTCAAATATAGATGCTTGTCCTTAAGCACTCAAACCTACATTTAGCTCTTTTAATAGGTGGCCTGATTTGCTGAGGTGTTGAGCTCCTGTTAAAAAAGCACAAGGCATCAACTGTAATTCTGCACTCATTTATGGGAGAGAAAGGCTCACTGAAGCCACTGCAAATTCCATCCACCCCTCCTCCTCCATCCACTGACATTTCATAGTCACAATCCTAAGATAATAATAATAATAATAATTTATTTATTATATTTATCATATCAGAAGCAAACCAAGGGTACAGTTGTAATGTATTTAAAAACACAAAGTTTTGTTTATTGTATCAGGAGTGAACCAAACAGTTGTATTGCATTTAAAAAAAACACAAAGTTTGCAAACTTGGCATTCTATTAAACGTCCTTTGACCAGTAGCTGGCCAATTGGAGTGCCTCTGGTATTGCTATAAGGAGGTCCTCCATTGTGCATGTGGCAGGGCTCAGACTGCATTGTAAGAGGTGGTCTATGGTTTGCTCTTCTCCACGCTCGCATGTCGTGGACTCCACTTTTTGGCCCAATTTCTTAAGGTTGGCTCTGCATCTCGTAGTGCCAGAGCGCAGTCTGTTTAGCGCCTTTCAAGTCACCCAGTCTTCCATATGCCCAGGGGGGAGTCCCTCATTTGGTATCAGCCATGGATTGAGGTTCTGGGTTTTTGCCTGCCACTTTTGGACTCCTACTTGCTGAGGTTTTCCTGTGAGTATCTCTGTAGATCTTAGAAAACTATTTCTTGATTGAAGGCTTTGACGTGCTGGCTGATATCCGAACAGAGGATGGGTCAAAGATGTCACTACCTTGGTCCTTTCATTATTGGCTGCTCCTTCCTGGCAGATGTCCAGTGGTACAATACTGGCTAAACAGTATAATTTCTCCAGCGGTATAGGGCATAAATATCCTGTGACAATGTGGCATGAACTTTATTTGGCTATTTTAAACTATGTTGATCAGGCTTGTCCCCATGTAAGCCACCCTGAGTCCCTTTGGAGAGATGGAGGTGGGATACAAAATTAAAGTTATTATTTTACTGATACAAAAACACAGTATATATCTGCTGGATTTCGTATCACAAAATCACAAGTCAAACACTTCCCAAGCGTCTAGGACTGTGTGATGTATTTTTGAATGATGCGCGCAGATCCAAGCAAAGTGACCTTTTGAAGTTGACAGATTGTGATTTTGTCAATGTTTATTGTTTCCATTATATTATTGTTATTATTATTATTAATGCTGCAAGCTGCTTTTGGTTGAATAATAATAATAATCATCATAATCATAATTTTATTTTGTATCCCACCTCCTTGTCCCCACCAGATGTTATTCATTTTGGAGGTTGGGGGTGGATTTTGCATCTTCCTCACTGAAATTTGCATTGAAGAGAATAAATTGTTATTTTGGTGTTGTGTGGTGACTAAAGCTATACTGCATAAACCTTTTCAATAAATGATTGTTAATGGTTGAGAGGCTGCATTTGAAGCAATATGGAATTAAAAGCAATTTTCACCTGATGCTATGGAGCCCCTGGTGGCACAATGGGTAAAACCCTTGTGCTGGCAGGAGTGAAGACTGACAGTCGCAGGTTCAAATCCGGGGATAGTGCAGATGAGCTCCCTCTGTCAGCTCCGGCTCCAAACTAGAGTAGATGCATTCAATGAATTGTTGAATGATAAATCAGCATATATGTAAATCCCATCAATTAAATTGTCTACTGGAGTACCTGGTGCTGCAATGGGTTAAATCCTTGTGCTGGCAGGACTGCTGACCATTTCGAATCTGGGGAGAGTGGTTTGAGCTCCCTCTGTCAGCTCCAGCTCCCCATGCGGGGACATGAGAGGAGCCTCCCACAAGGATAGTAAAACATCAAAACATCCAGGCATCCACTGGACAACATCCTTGCAGACGGCCAATTCTCTCACACCAGAAGTTTTGCAAGTCACTCCTGACACAAAAAAACCCCCCTGATGCTATAGGAAATGGTCATGTTCAGAATTTAGAATCAGAACTGATGTCATTGAACCATATTTTTCTATCACTGATCTGATTCGCTAAAATATCTGAAGACGTCAGCATTTGATGAATTAGGCTGAACCAAAGACAAAGCTGTTATTATATGCAAGGCTTAAAAAACAAAAGGAAAAGGAAAATTAGCAGAATATTTGCATCACTTAACCTTTTTATAGGGCAGTTTTCAAACTGTCCCCTGGCACCCAAACTATTACGGGGGCGTGAAGGAAAGCTGTTGTTCTAGAAAACACTGGAGTATTTCAAATGTTCAAGGAGCAATCAATACAATCAGCCCAAAGTTCAATTAGTTTTTGATTTATTGTGCCACATGTTCAGCTTGTATGACTGATGCCATTACCATCAGACTCAGCTGGTTTGTTCATCTGTCTCTGTCCAGTTCCTCCTGAACACAAACACGCTAAACAGATGGGGAATTTCATGGCCACAAATGGAATTGTTTATCCTTCTATTGTTCTTCTGTCAAGCAATCAAACCAAATCCATTACCAACCAATAAAAAGATCAGTGCATCATCCATTCAGCAGTGAGTCGAGCGGAGGAGGCTACAGAAGGGGGATTTCAAGCGTTTAGAAATGATCAGGAAATAACAGAGTGCCACATTTGAATCACAGATAAAAATGGAAAGCTGTAACAGATGGGAATCTGCCAATGCTTGGCTATTCAGTAGTTATAAGCATCAAGACTCACTGAAATAAAAGTTACTTTTGTAAGATTAAGCCACTGCCCTCAGGAAGACTTTTAGATAATGATAGACATTACCAGGACTTGCCATAAGATAATGTTGGCCTCTTTCTTCCTTCCTTCCCTCTCCTCCCCCTCCGCCCCATATTTCAGTTTCACTAATTTTTGAAATTGAAACAAAGATCAAGACCCTTTAACTAATCAGGCAGGGCATTACACCCCCTCACAATTCTGTGTCTACCTCACACATATAGTATTTCTAAAATGCAAAACGGGCTATCCCAGGCAGAAGCAAACTTTGACCCTCCAGGTGTTTTGGACTTCAACTTCCCCAATTCCTAACAGCCTACTGGCAAAATTTGCCCATGCCTGGGCTGTCCTATATAGCCTTTTGAGCTCCACCCAAAGGCCACTATTTGTCAGGCTCCAAGAATAGCTCCTGCTATTCCTTACTAGTAAGGAACTGAAAGAGTGTGGAGGCAAATCAGATGATGAAGAACTAGCTCAGCTCAGCTTAGAGGAGGAAAGAAAATGAGGTGTACTCACAGACGGAGTGCATGCATCCCCTTGTAACTACATTGGCTGAACTGTCTTCATCTCTACTTCTAAGCAGCCCTTGTTGTCAGTTCTGGGGCTTGGCAACTACACTGGCACGTCTGTTCATTACTAACAATGTTATAGTAGTAAAGGTAAAGGTTTCCCCTGTCTAGTCGTGTCCGACTCTGGGGGGTGGTACTCATCTCCATTTCTAAGCCGAAGAGCCAGGGTTCTCCATAGACACTTCCTAGGTCATGTGGCCAGCATGATTGTATGGAGAGCCTTTACCTTCCCTGAGAAGCTGTACCTATTGATCTACTCACATTTGCATATTTTCGAACTGTTAGGTTGGCAGAAGCTAGGGCTAACAGCGAGAGCTCACCCCACTCCTCAAATTCGAACCGCCAACCTTTCAGTCAGCAAGTTCAACAGCTCAGCGGTTTAACCCGCTGCACCATTAACACTTATGTTAAAAAGAGCTGATGAACACACATCACTCTTGCCATGGGAACACTTCTGCTCCCTAACAAAATCTTTGTCATAAGTGTCCCCCCCCCCCCCCCCCCCCCCCGCAACCTACTATAAAGTTTACAACTCTTATTGCATTAAAGACCGGTTGTTGACAAGGTAGAGATATTTATAGTTCAGGACTGCGGTCTTTCCCGTAGTAAGGAGAGTTTCCCACAGGGGAGCTGTAAAGAAGCGTATGATATAAATCTTGCCACTGGCACCAATTATAGAGAAATGCGTAGTTATCTAACACCAAGTATCCCACTGCTGAACACCACTGCAAAGGATTATATGTAATATTACACTACTGGACAATAGTATGGTAGCGATATGATGTTAGAGGTGTGTAATGGTAGAGTGAACACTGCTTCAGTCTTCTTTTTGTTTAATTTTGCCACCAACCCAAGCTGCCTTAAAAATTTTAAAATGAGTCTTTGAGGTAAACTTTTCCCTCCTCTGCCAACACAACTCTCCCCTTAGCTCCCAAAATGACTGTTTGGATAATAGACCTTTCTGTGGTATTAGGATGTTAAAGAGGCTAGAATTATCACAAAGGCTTGCTGATCGATTGAGGAACGATAGAGACCTTTATGAAAGTTAAATAGAAAAAAAGATTTATTTATAAAAACAACAGACAACTAACTTCTTTTTCTGAGAGGCACAAAACTCTTGACTTGTTACAAATGTACAGTAGCTTGATGGTTGCTTGAAAAGAGTTTCTTCACTTAGTTACATACAGAGCTAATCAAACAGATATAGCTGCTGGTTACAAAAAATCCCTCACTCTACTTCAGAGAAATAGCAATGAGTTTCTGACTAACCTAACCTAGGTAGTCCCCTGAGTTATCAGCTAACTCTCCCAGAGTTCTTACCGCTAACTCAGTCTAGAG